TGATTGTCCTTTCGATAAATTAAATATACTGTTATAAAGTGGTTATGGAAACTGACAATTCACTGCTCAGAGTTAAGAAAGTGCTCCAATGAATCGTCAAACTCTTCCATAAATGGAGTGAACGGAAGCGGGGCCTTGTTTCCAGTATACTTGCTTGTAAAACTTTGGTTTCTGTAGGTGGTAATGTGGTCCTGTTTGTAATTGTTCCAGGCATGAAGCATCTCTGATACATCTATATCGTGGCCGTAGTTTGACTCATTAGCAATTTCCGCAACATAAGCTGTCTGGTAGTCGATAGTGTCGTCTACACTTTTGATGTCGCCCATCCTGTTGACAAAAGTCACATAAAAATGAAAATTAAATGCAGAAACCCAAATAACCCATAATAACCGTCCCGAAATTTGCAAAATCATTATACTTTTCTGGGAATCTGTCCACCTACCCCTCCCCTAAGCCAACATTTTGCCCTAAGGGAGAAGTAAGTGTTAATGTTGGCTTAGGGGAGGGGTAGGTGGGCATATGGCCGACTGGGCCTACATGCGAGCAAGGTGGCGCAGTGGTATGAGCACTCGTCTCCCACCAATCGACACCAATGTGGACCGGGATCAAATCCTGTTGTTGACACCAGTGTGGGTTGAGTTTGTTGTTGGTTCTCTCCCTTGCTCCGAGAGGTTTATCTCCGGGTACTCCGGTTCTCAACCAACNTTTTTATTCCCTATTCCTCGAAAAGAAATATCATAAACATCTACAGACGAAGATACATATTCAGGATTGCATGGGGTGACTGTCTGTCATGTCGCAGTACACCTTGATTGTCCTTTCGATAAATTAAATATACTGTTATAAAGTGGTTATGGAGGCCGACAATTCACTGCTCAGAGTTAAGAAAGTGCTCCAATGAATCGTCAAACTCTTCCATAAATGGAGTGAACGGAAGCGGGGCCTTGTTTCCAGTATACTTGCTTGTAAAACTTTGGTTTCTGTAGGTGGTAATGTGGTCCTGTTTGTAATTGTTCCAGGCATGAAGCATCTCTGATACATCTATATCGTGGCCGTAGTTTGACTCATTAGCAATTTCCGCAACATAAGCTGTCTGGTAGTCGATAGTGTCGTCTACACTTTTGATGTCGCCCATCCTATTGACAAAAGTCACATAAAAATGAAAATTAAATGCAGAAAACAAAATAACCCATAATAACCGTCCCGAAATTTGCAAAATCATTATACTTTTCTGGGAATCTGTCCACCTACCCCTCCCCTAAGCCAACATTTTGCCCTAAAGGAGAAGTAAGTGTTAATGTTGGCTTAGGGGAGGGGTAGGTGGGCATATGGCCGACTGGGCCTACATGGGAGCATGGTGGCGCAGTGGTATGAGCACTCGCCTCCCACCAATCGACACCAATGTGGACCGGGATCAAATCCTGTTGTTGACACCAATGTGGGTTGAGTTTGTTGTTGGTTCTCTCCCTTGCTCCGAGAGGTTTATCTCCGGGTACTCCGGTTCTCAACCAACACTTCCAAATTCTAATTCGATCTGGAACGCACGGACACGTTTCACCGAGTTCTTATGAACTCTTAACTGCTCAGTGGGTAAATGAATTACAATACCGTAAGGTAACCATACGTCATACTACCAGTGAAAATCAATTAAAAAAGTAAATAAGGTAAATAAATGAAAATAATTATTTTGTTTACCTTCGGCAGCGTTTATAGCACTAAGGCTGGCTAGGACTGAACAAATGACTGAACCAAATAATGAAAATCAAACATTACAGGATCAAAAAATCCCAACTGGCTGGAGCTAAACTAGATTGCATTTTGTCGAGGATTTGAACTCGGGAGTACCGTAAACAAATCCACCTAGAATTCAGGGCGAGGCTTGAAGTCTTTGCCTCTCGATTGCAAGCCCAAGGCTCTTATTGCTCGGCCACGCTGCCCCTTAAATGAAGAGTCAATTGCTGGGCTCTTTAAATTGTATCATAATAAACTAATGACGCCATCAGATGTTTAAATGCGCTAAGCGCAAGCTAGAGAAATGTATCATAAATCGAGCTCATCGACCATATTTAGGCCTTGAACGCGTTCAAGGGGAAACCTCAGTATCCATACTAGCATGACAAGCAAGTTATCTCAAATGGCTGAGAGTCCCACACTTCCGAGATTAGCAATTTGGTGAAGCAAGGCCGCACCGGTTCTGGCTTAAAACGCTTTAATCTTAGCCTCCAACGCAGACGTTCCTGGGGGTTTGTCACCGTGCCTGACAAGCATGAAATCCAAGCTATCCAAGAAACCGAGTAGAATTGGTAAGAGGTTCATGGATCCATATTTGGTCTTCGCTATCTCACGGTAGAATCCAGGACACGAATTGACTACGAAGCTCTCACTGACTACGATTTTCCCTTGAAAACACACAGACCCGACGACATACAGACGTAATAAATCAGCGGCAATTCATATGGACGATAAAGAACAGAAATGTGTCTACCGTACAGTCGAACCTTTAACATCGGCCACATTTTGGTCCCGGCGGCTCGCCTCCCGGTAGCCTGTGTACAGACGTCGCCCCTCCCTCAGGAAAACTCGGGAGAGGAGACGACCTACCCCCGGGACCTAGGGGATATATTTGCTGTTTAATCACCATCTACAGCGGCCACTTAACTTTGCTCCTAAGGTGCCGTTTGTATGGAGGTTTGGCTGAACCGGGCAAGGCAGGCATTTGGAAGACTCATGTAAATCAAGGTACTCAAATTTACCACAACGTGACCCACCATCTGAAGGTATGCAGTACCGTTGTCTTCACTTACCTCCTGGACGGTTGTGAGACTCGGAAGTTTAGTAGGTGTAGCTGGGCAGACCTGCGTGCCCAGCGATTCGTGAGAGGCATCTAATGTCAGGACAATCATTGACATGATGTCCCCAACTTTAAATCCCACTACCAAAAAATAATTATTGGGGCAATGCTGATTAACTCCAAGCTCCACTGGTAGACTTACCTTTCATTTCATGAGTGACAAACGCACGAGAAGATGGTAAAAGGAATTAAGGCCGTCCTTGCATGCGCTACAAGCAGAATCTTAAAGGAAGGCCCAGAAGGGGTGAGGCAAACCACCAGAAAGTCAGAGATTAGCGCAAGACCTTCCCATGACGTACCATTACGCTTAAGGCTGGAAGTGCAATGGAGAAGGAAAGGCGGCTGCATCACTTAGTAACCCGTGGCGTTATCCTCCTCTCGGGTCCTGCGTCAGCCACCCTGGTACTTACATCTTGGTTTCACTTCGAGTGTTGCAAATGTCCGCAGTAAAAGATTAAAAAAATAAGATAATGATTATAAAGAAAAATATTTTTTTTTTTTTTAAAAGGTATTTTTGTAAAGTTGGTTTTTTTGGGGGTATTGGGGGGAAGAGTTTTTGGCAGAATTTGGAAGGGCCCGTGGGGGGGGGGGGGGCGCTGTGGGTAGCAGGTCCTTGGAAGTAATGGGGCAAGAAAAAACAGGGCACACAAGGGAGACACCTCTCCTCTTGCGTGTCTCCCTCGCACGCCTTGTTGCTACGCATGGTAGGGGGCTCTGAGGTAGGGGAAGGAAAAAGGGAAGAGCTTGCAGTCAGTTGATTGAGCTGTCAGTTTTTGTCCAATTAGCATGGAGTGGAAAAGAACCCAATGGAAACAAACACTGAGTAGCATTCGAAAAAAAGCTATCCCGTGAGCAAGTGATGGCCAACTGAGACAATCCAAAGAAAATTTGTCTTGGGAGAAAACTTTGTAGTCTTTTTTAGGCCCAGGCCAAACGTCAAACTTTCATGAGACAAACGAAACTCTAATTTGGGTCGACCTAAATTAAGTTAAGATACATAATCTTAACTGAAACGACTTGCTTTCATTGTTTTCTGACATATTTGATCGAGTTGTATTTGATAAGTGTTGTCTCAGTAAAGGCGTTTTCTGATTTGATTCAGTTGTATTTTATAAATGTTGCCTCACAGTTATAGGGACCTCTTTTGTTATCTAATTTGAAGGGACAACTTTTGGCATTCAATTTGAATATTTGCCACATTCTGGACGTTGGGAGTCCTCTGGCGATTTTTCACCATTTGTGCCACTCTCCAAGGGGCGTGGCGATTTCTCGCCATTTTTGCCAAATTTTGCCAGTTTCGCTTAAATCACTACCCTCCAAGGGGCCACTTCTGGCATCCAATTTGAGTCGTCGGCCATCTGGCGATTTTTCTCCATTGCATGCATTTCTGGACATAAGTGTCTTAATGACAGCGCTACTGTTCTTCATGAAACAACAGGAAATACACCGTGTCAAACTTTCAGATGTCACATTCTCTTTTATGCATGACACCTGTCAAAACGTTGACCAATCTGAGGGTAGATTGGTCCTAGACCAAGTTAAATATATTTTTGAAAGTTTTTTGTCGTTTCCCAAACAAAAGAAACTTCAATGCTTTTGAATGAACTAGTTATTTATTCTCCTAGACAAACGCAAAGCTGCATGTTTTGAACTTCCCCGTCCCCTCCCATGCAGAAGCACTTTTGTCGTTCACTGGTGTCCCTCCCTGTCAGTCTTTATGGGCGGGCGTACGCTGACGTCATAACCTAATGTTCTCGCATCGCCGGTTCTAGGTTACTGTGTTCCATAGGACTGAACCCCTATACGCGGCTGAGTCTTTTATGTAGCAAGTGTTGAAACGGGGAACAATTAGCGAAACGTGTGCCTGATGGTTGAATAATTTGTGGCCCGTAACCTATCGTCGTGATTCACTCAGAATGAATCGTAGAACCCATTTGAAAACCTTTGTATCAGTATAAAGACAACGGTCTTTTACGTTTATGGTCTTTTTTATTCCCTATTCCTCGAAAAGAAATATCATAAACATCTACAGACGAAGATACATATTCAGGATTGCATGGGGTGACTGTCTGTCATGTCGCAGTACACCTTGATTGTCCTTTCGATAAATTAAATATACTGTTATAAAGTGGTTATGGAGGCCGACAATTCACTGCTCAGAGTTAAGAAAGTGCTCCAATGAATCGTCAAACTCTTCCATAAATGGAGTGAACGGAAGCGGGGCCTTGTTTCCAGTATACTTGCTTGTAAAACTTTGGTTTCTGTAGGTGGTAATGTGGTCCTGTTTGTAATTGTTCCAGGCATGAAGCATCTCTGATACATCTATATCGTGGCCGTAGTTTGACTCATTAGCAATTTCCGCAACATAAGCTGTCTGGTAGTCGATAGTGTCGTCTACACTTTTGATGTCGCCCATCCTATTGACAAAAGTCACATAAAAATGAAAATTAAATGCAGAAAACAAAATAACCCATAATAACCGTCCCGAAATTTGCAAAATCATTATACTTTTCTGGGAATCTGTCCACCTACCCCTCCCCTAAGCCAACATTTTGCCCTAAAGGAGAAGTAAGTGTTAATGTTGGCTTAGGGGAGGGGTAGGTGGGCATATGGCCGACTGGGCCTACATGGGAGCATGGTGGCGCAGTGGTATGAGCACTCGCCTCCCACCAATCGACACCAATGTGGACCGGGATCAAATCCTGTTGTTGACACCAATGTGGGTTGAGTTTGTTGTTGGTTCTCTCCCTTGCTCCGAGAGGTTTATCTCCGGGTACTCCGGTTCTCAACCAACACTTCCAAATTCTAATTCGATCTGGAACGCAGGGATATGTTTCACCGAGTTCTTATGAACTCTCAACTGCTCAGTGGGTAAATGAATTACAATATCGTAAGGTAACCATACGTCATACTACCAGTGAAAATCAATTAAAAAAGTAAATAAGGTAAATAATTATTTTGTTTACCTTCGGCAGCGTTTATAGCACCAAGGCTGGCTAGGACTGAACAAATGACTGAACCAAATAATGAAAATCAAACATTACAGGATCAAAAAATCCCAACTGGCTGGAGCCAAACTAGATGGCATTTTGCCGAGGATTTGAACTCGGGAGTACCGTAAACAAATCCACCTAGAATTCAGGGCGGGGCTTGAAGTCTTTGCATCTCGATTGCAAGCCCAAGGCTCTTATTGCTCGGCCACGCTGCCCCTTAAATGAAGAGTCAATTGCTGGGCTCTTTAAATTGTATCATAATAAACTAATGACGCCATCAGATGTTTAAATGCGCCAAGCGCAAGCTAGAGAAATGTATCATGAATCGAGCTCATCGACCATATTTAGGCCTTGAACGCGTTCAAGGGGAAACCTCAGTATCATCCATACTAGCATGACAAGCAAGTTATCTCAAATGGCTGAGAGTCCCACACTTCCGAGATTAGCAATTTGGTGAAGCAAGGCTGCACCGGTTCTGGCTTAAAACGCTTTAATCTTAGCCTCCCACGCAGACGTTCCTGGGGGTTCGTCACCGTTCCTGACAAGCATGAAATCCAAGCTATCCAAGAAACCGAGTAGAATTGGTAAGAGGTTCATGGATCCATATTTGGCCTTCGCTATCTCACGGTAGAATCCAGGACACGAATTGACTACGAAGCTCTCACTGACTACGATTTTCTCTTGAAAACACACAGACCCGACGACATACAGAGGTAATAAATCAGCGGCAATTCATGTTGACGATAAAGAACAGAAATGTGTCTACCGTACAGTCGAACCTTTAACATCGGCCACATTTTGGTCCCGGCGGCTCGCCTCCCGGTAGCCTGTGTACAGACGTCCCCCCTCCCCAAGAAAAACTCGGGAGAGGAGACGACCTACCCCCGGGACCTAGTGGATATATTTGCTGTTTAATCACCATCTACAGCGGCCACTTAACTTTGCTCCTAAGGTGCCGTTTGTATGGAGGTTTTGGCTGAACCGGGCAAGGCAGGCATTTGGAAGACTCATGTAAATCAAGGTACTCAAATTTACCACAACGTGACCCACCATCTGAAGGTATGTAGTACCGTTGTCTTCACTTACCTCCTGGACGGTTGTGAGACTCGGAAGTTTAACCGCCGTCACATAAAGTAGCTGGGCAGACCTGCGTGCCCAGCGATTCGTGAGAGGCATCTTATGTCAGGACAATCATTGACATGATGTCCCCAACTTTAAATCCCACTACCAAAAAATAATTATTGGGGCAATGCTGATAAAGTCCAAGCTCCACTGGTAGACTGACCTTTCATTTCATGAGTGACAAACGCACGAGAAGATGGTAAAAGGAATTAAGGCCGTCCTTGCATGCGCTACAAGCAGAATCTTAAAGGAAGGCCCAGAAGGGGTGAGGCAATCCACCAGAAAGTCAGAAATTAGCGCAAGACCTTCCCACGCTTAAGGCTAGAAGTGCAATGGAGAAGGAAAGGCGGCTGCATCACTTAGTAACCCGTGGCGTTATCCTCCTCTCGGGTCCTGCGTCAGCCACCCTGGTACTTACATCTTGGTTTCACTTCGAGTGTTGCAAATGTCCGCAGCTCTGCTCAAGATTTAAACATCACTTTCCTATCTAAAAGAGAGTACTCCCTACTTATAAGAGTGTACTGGTCATTTTGTCTAATAGCCCATTTATATTGCTATAAATACCAAGTGAAATTGTTGTACAATCTTGGACAAAACGCTTGATAAAAACCGCATCGTAGCCGTAACAGTTCTTCCTTCCTCTCTCCCCCTAGAAGCAGTGTTGTTGTCTTCAAAAGGAATTTAGACGTTTGTAGGAAGCAACTTTGAACTGGGAGAGGGAATTTCTTTAGGCAAAGCCGCTGATTTGGAAATAGTTTTGTTGCGTTAGGTAGTGCGCATTACGAAAAAACGTTCTCAAGTAGTTTTGTCCGGGATTGTAGATCTCCCATAATAAGGACTGTCGGTAGTGAGTCACCTAAATCGAATAAGTACCTGGTAATCCACTTCCTGCTATCACTTTCCATTTCTTGATTATCGGGAAGCTTTAGTTCCCCCATGATATAATTCACCACCCACTTTGCTTGAACATCAAACATGGTAAAACTGTATATTTGATTAAGTATCCCTATGTACAGAACCTTGTTATTTCCACCCTGGGTCCAGAGAATCGACTTGTAAAGTCCCTCAGGGTACCAAACATTGCGGGATTTCAGGCGCAGACGATCTTCCAAAAAAGGAAAGAAGTAATGGTAGCCTGTGCAGAGTATGATGTCATCAACCTCTGCCGTGCTACCATCCTTAAAATGGACTGTGCTTCCTTCCAGCTTGGTGAGCAGTGGCTTTTCTGTTATCTGTGGGGGCCATTTGAATCCCATCGGTAGTGTTCGCCAACAGCAAATGATATTATCAGCGCCGTACTTAAGACACTGGACAGCGATGTCTTCTGCTGAGTAGCTGGAACCAATGACAAGAACTCTTTTGCCTTTGAAGTGAGAGGCATTTCTGAAGCTGTGTGAGTGAATTACTCGACCAGGGAACCTCTCAATTCCAGTGAAGAAAGGGATGTTGGGAGTAGAGTAATGCCCAGTTGCTACAATGACGTAGTCAAATCTCTCAGCCGGAAGGACCTTGTCTTCTGAAAGGTTTTTGACGACAACAGTAAAGTCGTCGGTAGAATCGTTGTAGGTAACTTGACGAACAACATGGCTGAAGTGAATCCAAGGGCGAAGATTGCTGTTAGACCACCGACCTGGGAAAGAAAACGTTTGCTAAAATTTTAAGTAAAATAATGAATAAACATTCAATCTCAGCAATGTGGACGCAAACGTCCTGTAATAAACACACCATAACTCTGAGCCACTGCCATTTCAGTTGTACGCTACGTCCGTATAGTTTTTCTTTTGTGCGGATAAATTACAAAGAGATTAGAGTACATTAGAACAGCTAAGATGCGTGGGATAGTGACTACCGGTAGAGGTTAAGGTTAGGTCAGATTCTCACTTCCACAACAGCTCCACAACAGCTGCATCAGTATTACTGCCGCATGCATATACTTGAAAGAGGGTCTCAATGGGGTGGTGGCATTTACGGTTATCGGCTAAAATTTTGGCTCTTTTACGGCTATCGGCTAATTTTTTTCAGTTACGGTTAACAAAAAAGTTAAAAATTAACTTCTTTTGTTTCAAAAAGTCAAATATTAATTAACCTGGGCCGGGTTGTTCGAAGCTGGGTTAAGTTAACCAAGGGTTAGTGCAAAATTTGAACTCGGATATGAGAGCTTAAAAAGCAAATTCAATTTAATTCTCTTTGGCTACAATTTGGTGATTGGATAATCTAAAAAGAATAGCGAAAATTATCCAATAGTGTGCTTTTGATAAAAAGAAAAAGAAACCCGGGTTCAAATTTAACCCCGGGTTAGCGCTAACCGGCGTTCGAACAACTGGGCCCTGTATTTTTGGTATCTTTAAAGCAAAATAAAGGTCTTATAAAGATGATCTCGG